CTGGGGTTCCCAGCACCAGGCTGGGCCGTGGGTTAGTGGAATGGGGGAGGCAGGGAGTTCCTTCTGGGGTTCCCTGCCATTGTCCTGATACTGGCTAGGTGGGCTTCACGCCGTCAAGGACCCTGGGTGGAACAGGCAGAAAGCCAAGGGTGGGATAAGGAGGTTGAGTTATTAGTCCGGAGCAAGATTTTCCTTGAATGTTACTAATGACGCTGTTATTTGGGGAAATGTTGCTCATTTGAGGGCTGTTTGTTTCCGTACTTAGAATTATTGCCAGTGCTGGCTGGCATCCAGTCCTAGGATCCTCTGAGACGTCAGAAAGAAATGCTTTTCTTCCCTTCCCTATGGGATAATTGGCTTAGGTATAATTTAATTATTTTATTAACCAGTTATTCCATCATGGTGTATGAACACAACAGCCTTACCCCCCCCTTCTGTTGTCAAGATGTTCATCATTGATTTTTTTTTTCCTTCATTGCAAATGGATGTGCAACAGTAAGATTTCTAGCCAGAAACTAAAATAGACCGACTCTGTTTTCCATGACTGCAGGCGTGCCCTTGAACCCTTGGAAAGTATCGTCCCGTGATTCCGAGTAAGAATTGAAATAAATAATCCATTTCAAAGAGGAATGAAAATCTCAAGAATTCTGTAGCAAAATCATGATTTGAGAAAATCACTTGAACTGGATTTTCAGCAGGGTGACCCTCAGAAGATTCTTAGTGGGATGCAGAGGGGGTGCAAATATATAATGTTGCACCGTGTATATGTCCCTGGTCTCAACCTCCAAAAGGCCTATTGAATTCAAAATGAGAGGTACATACAATGATTCATAATAGTAAGCAGACAGTGCTTTGTGAGGTGCACAAATGAAAACATTACTACTCTATTGAAGATGTTTTAGTTTATCTGGAAGCATTTCTCAATGTTTATTATTATCCTTGAAGGTACATTATATGCTATATATTAAGATTTGACAAACTAATGTTAGATATGATCTCTATCTAACTGTGTCCGATTATGTACAAATTTGACCTAAAGCCAGACTGTGGAATGGAACTTGTTCAGAATCCAGGGACTGTCTGACTAGAATATGGTGTTTAGACAGCATCCAAACTACAGGGCGTCTCACAGAAAATATTGTGGACTTAAAACCATATGTGGCTCTATTGTTCTTTGTCAATAGCTGGTCTCACTACTGCCTCTCCTGGAGGTTGACTTTCTTGATTCGTAGCCTTTTTCTCCTCTCTCCCCTTCATGCTCCTTACAGGGACATTTTGAAAGTTGGGCACGTTGCTGGGTAACTGTATTTATTTTGTGTGAGACTGATCGCACCTCTGTGCTCATGCTCATTCTCCTTCCTTTGTTTTGCGGGGCGACAGGGGCCTTCTCACAGTCAGGTCTGCTATCCAGTTGAAGCCTTCATGGTATAAAAGGGCTTTACCGCAGTACTGCATTAAGTCTATTTGCAAAAACTTAATTTGAGCTAAATAATTCAGTCTGGCCTAAGACTATGAGACACAGATGTGTGTGGTGCTGCCGGAACCCACCAGGACTCCATCCACAGGCAGGCTGCTGCTTCACTGGCCCCCGTTTTTCTCTTATATGGTCCTGTTGCTCTGAGGCCAGTCAATAGACGATGGACATCCAAGGCCTGTTACTGAGTTATAAGAAGGAGCTATTGCAGTTTTCCTTACTGGGAGTCTCTGAATCATTCACAGATACAGCAGAAGTCCAATGTTTACCCTTGGGTCTTTGGGTGAGACCGAAGCTGAAACACTCCACTGCTAACTGAAAGTTTAGAGGTTCAGAGTCCACCCCTTCCCCCAGCCCCCCAGTGGCATTTCACAAGAATGACCAGGTGGTCCCCTTCCAAAAAGCCAGCCATTGATGGACCGCAGTTGTATTCTGATCCCCTTTCAAAAAGCCAGCCATTGATGGAATGCAATTGTATTCTGATCCACGCGGGGTGACCATGACTTAAAATCCACTCAACAGCAAGTGGTTTAGTTTGTTCCACCAGAAGGAAACGGGACACTGCTTTTTATGGCACGGGATTCCACCCTCCCTCCAGCATTAAACGTAATTTCTAGATGAGTGAAGCGGACATCTTTCTTTGGAAATTCACCCAGAGGGCAAACCATCTTGTCTTCATTCTCCTCTGCCGAACCCCGGGATGTGGGATCAGCCTCCCCACCACTGACTCGATGACCACCATCACCCATGCCGACACAGGGACGTCACTACATTTGTTAGGCTTTATAGATCCATCAGCCAGTGCATAGAAATAAAAAGATTATTCCTTTGAGGTATCCGATTGTGTTTCACTCACAGTGACTCCGGATGACAGCAGAACAGCCTACAGGATCTTCGTGCTTGTCGGCTCTGATGGAAACCGAGGCGTGGAATTTGAACTAGGAACCTTTCTGTGAGCAGCCAAGTGCTTAACCCTTGGGTCATGAAGGGTCTCTGACTGCTCATTAGCTATCTCTGATAATGCCATTCTGGATAATGTTGATTAGACTTGAGTCAATGCTTGACTCACGGGAAGTCCATGCCCGATAGAATTGGACAGAGTGCGACATAGGGTTTTTTGTTTTTGTTTTTAATCATTTTATTAGGGGCTCATACAACTCTTATCACAATCCGTACACACATCAATTGTGTAAAGCGCATTTGTACATTCATTGCCCTCATCATTCTGAAAACATTTCCTCTCCACTTAAGCCCCTGGCATCAGCTCCTCATTTTTCCCCTCTCCCCGCTCCCCACTCCCTCATGAGCCCTTGATAATTTATAAATTGTTATTTTGTCATATCTTGCCCCGTCCAACGTCTCCCTTCACCCACTTTTCTGTTGTCCGTCCCCCAGGGAGGAGGTCACATATAGTTCCTTGTAACCGGTTCCCTCTTTCCTACCCACTCTCCCTCGACCCTCCCTGTTTCGCCACTCACACCACTGGTCCTGTAGGGCTCATCCGCCCTGTTTTTTAGGAGATTACTCAACCTTTCTTCCGAGCTTATCTTAGTTTGAAAGCTTCCCAGAGTTTTGTTCAGCTTCGTGGTACTTTGTTCACCTCCCCTAACAGATGGGTGGTGGCTGCATCTGAAGTGGATTGGCTAGGAGCTGAAGCTGCGTTTTCTAGAGGTCTAGAAGGCTAGAATTCTACCGCCGAACCACTGCTGCTCTCCAATGATCTCATGATAAACTACCTGGACATTGCATAGCCAGTTTTGATGAAGAGGTCAGGTTTCAGTGCCACACAGTGCATTTCATCATGCGATTTTCCTTTGCTAGAAATTCATTGGCCTTATTTCTTTGGTCGCCTTTGTTGAAGTAAGTCCTCTGAAAGGCACTCTCCCCTTTGCTGCCCCTGTCCCCTGGCTCTTTAAACCCTTGTGCTTTGACAGAACAAAATCCATCTTCCAGAATGGTTCTCCCAAAATCACTGAGTTTTATTTCTTTTCTTTTTATTCCTTTTCCTGTAGCTTTTACCACTTTATTCCATGGAAGCGGGTGACGGGAACCACCAGGAACAGAGGAAAGCTTCCCCCATTCACCTTATTCTTTTGGTTGCATGCCTGATTCTGAGATACGCGATTCACGGATCTAACTCAAATGCCTGCTCCCTTTTCAGAAAGACCATAGCACATCACAGTCATGCCTCTTTTGCGCTGAATACCGGCAGAGGCACCTGTAGTGCCTCCTTCCCCCGCAGCGGTGTTCAGGTGTTTGACTTTTGGTCTGGTGTAGGAGTGTGGGGAGAAATGAGTAAGGAATCAGCGGCTACAAGGCACTTGGAAGACAAATGTGAAGTGTTTGCTTTTGTTCCTATGTATGACCTTTGCTGGTTTTATCTGGATGGCTAGGTCAGTGTAGGAGTTTGACTCCTAATAGCCAACATTAGTATATTGCTTCTGTAACCCAGGTAGTCTTAGTGCTTTGTGTGTATATTAATTCATGTTAAAACAGAGCCTAAGGGTACTTTTTGTCTCTGATTTCTGTTCTGCCTCCCCCACCCCCCAGGTTGAAAACTGGTGTCCTCATTTACCTTGGAGAGCAAAAAATCCGTACGAAGAAGCTGATCATAACTCAATGGTAAGTGATTTTGGAAAAGTCGTATTGGGTTTGTGCATTTAAGTCTGATGCGAAGTATAAGATATGAGAGATCTCTTGGAACTGAAGCTGTGATGTAAAAACAACACCGCCTTCGGGGTGATGTGACTCATATTGACCTTATAGGGCAGGGTAGAACGGCCCTTATGGGTTAGAACTACTCACCTTGCTGATCGCAGCCGAACTTGTAACCACTGTGCCACCAGGGCGCCTCCACTGTCATGTGAACGGCGGTAAACTATAGAAGTTCTACCTCCAGACCTTGGGTAACCAAATCAGCCAACCAATCAGCATATACTTATTTATTGAGAAATTCTATGAAGGATCCTAAAGAGCTTGCAACTTATGAATAAGGCTGGAGTCAGGCATGGAAGTACTGAGTGGTATCATGGCATGAGTTTTGTAAAACACGACCATCAAATCATAACCCTAGACGCTCATAGGAGTTAATGATCTCAGCCTGCAGGGGCAGGGGGCCCTGCCTAGAGATAATTGAAATTGATATTGAAAGTGAAATGTAAATGATGAGTGAGCCTTCTAGGAAGATGGCAACATAAACAGACCATCATGCTGCCCCGCCCCACAAATACAATAAGGAAACCTCACTCAGCTCTGAGGGACTGTGAGTTAGGGATCAGACCCGACCCGGGCATTATTTGAAGTGTGCCAGCACTCTCCTCATTTGGCCACTGTTGGCCACAAGCCCTCTAGGAATGGCCACAGAAGACCTAAGCAGTAGATCTGCTCTCATTGTCAATGCTCGACCTCCATCCCTGTGCGCCCCGTAACTCCCACCACCTCAGACAGAACAAACCTCCTCGGTGGTCAGTTGGGTCTGCCTACTCCCCCTTCTGGTTGACCCTGAGGTCTACTGACCCTGAGGTCTACTGACCAGGACTACTGTGCACTAGGAAGCGGGCTTCTAGAAGGGAGGCTACCCCCATAGTGAGCAGATTGATCACAGACAGACAGACCTCCTGGGGGCTTATTCCGAGAGTGACCACCTCTGCTGCCTAGACACTGACAGCTGTCAACGGGCGGTGCATTGTTATAGAAGGCCTCTGGAACAGGATCTGCCCCCATAGCCAGGCGTTTACCTGCCTTTCTCTGGACCCCACAGCTGAGGTCTCTGAAACTGTCCGGGGTCAATTTGGGGTTGTTTGCCTCACTTTCGGGGGACACTTAGGACCATTGTCTGAAACTACCATGGTCACACCCACAGCCAACATACGATGGCTGAGGACTGTACTGCCACAAGGCAGACCTTTCTGGGGCTCCAGTTGGAGGGTAACAACCCCTCCTCTATCCAGTATCTGTCAGCTCCTGGACTGATAGAAACTCTTATAGAAGGTCCCTTACAACGCAGTCAGAGGGTGGTTACCGCAGAAGAGACTACCCGCCCTCCCACACACACACCGAATACCACAGGCCCACCGAGTCTCTGGAACCAAAGAAAGAAAAGAAACCTCTTGGAGATTCTTCAGGAGAGAGAGGGCCCTTCCTCCTAAAACAGGGAAGTCTGCTTGTGTTGTCCCTGAGAGCAGGTTCCGACAGAAGCAGCTGGCACAGAACTAGGAAGGAAGCATGGGGGGAAACTGGAGGGCATCACCAAGCCGCGTGGTTCCCTTGCTGAAAGCGTGGTCCCAGAAAGGGCATGACACCCAGAGAGAGGACCAAGGCCCCTGGCAGGCAGGTGGATGAGTACATGGCGGCTCACCTGAGCAGCAGTGCCCGGTGGTGGATGAAATGGTCCCAGGTATAGCCTGACGGGTTTGAGACATTGAAAGTCAGAGCCAAAATCTAGACCTTCTAATTCAGGGGTCCTCAAACTATGGCCCGTGGGCCACATGCAGCCCGCTGAGGACATTTATCCGGCCCGCCGGGTGTTTTTGCCCCATTTATTTTTTTAATTCAAAATAAGATATGTGCAGTATGCATAGGGATTTGTTCATAGTGCTACCACATAGAGGGAGAGGAAAGGCAAGCAAAGGCTAAAAGTAAACTACCAAATATTGGGGAGAACTGAGAAAGTGTGTCCTGTACACCAACAAAAGTTAACGCCCTAGAATATTCTAATGTCAGAGAAACAATAATAAGATAGAACCACAAAGCACACAAAGAACAGAGAAACAATAACCCTTCCCAATGAACAAGGCAACGTGCATGGATGCATCTAAGGATGACCGACTGATGAAAAGGGAGAAAAGTATAATGCAACAATGTTAACAATCGTTAGATAACTACCAGAAAACAGAATGCTAAGGAAAACAATGCAAGGACAAAAGGGGAACCTAAAAAAGATACAACGGTTAAAAAGAACAATTGCTGAAATGAGAAACACAGTAGAAGGACAACAATGTTAATTAGGCAGAAGAAATAAGCAGGGACTTAGAAGATAAGATAGTTAAAATTACAGATGCCCAAGAGCACCAAAAATGGTGTCTCAAGAAGGCTGAGCACAGTTTAATGGAATTATTCAAGAACAACAGATATGCATATCATGGGAATTACAGGAACAAAGGAGAGCGAAAGGAATAGAAAGACTCTTTGAACAAATAATGACAGCAAATGTCCCCGGTCTAATGAAGATCGTGAGTCTGCCTATCCAAGAAGCTCAGAGACCCAAAGCAACGTGCCCTGAAGCATGTCGAGTTAGGCTGTCAACAGATTAAAGGTAAAAGATAACCCTTGAGAGCAATGAGGTTGAAGCAGAGTCACACACAAAGTCTCCCCAATAAGACCGAAGGCAGGTGCTCCTCAGAAACATTGGGTGCAAGCAGTCGGTGGCCTGTTGTATTGAAAACAGAGCAAAAACAGCCCGTCAACCAAGAATGTGATATCCAGTAAGACTGTCCTCAAGATGAAAGTGGAATCGAAGCATTCTGATATAAGTGGAAACTGAGAGAGTCCGTATCCACTAGATGAACCTTGTGCAAACTACTAATAGGAGTTCTAGAGCTTGTGGAGAAAAGATACTAGGAAGTCTTCAAAGCTAAGAAATGACTTTTTTTTTAAATCATTTTATTAGGGGCTCATACAACTCTTATCACATCCATACACACATCGATTGTGTAAAGAGCATTTGTACATTCATTGCCCTCATCATTCTCAAAACATTTCCTCTCCATTAAATTACTCTTATGAGACAAAATGCAAGGAGACGTATAAAGGCTAGTAATAACATATTCATAGTGGGTAATTCTAATTGTGTTATTCATATTGTAATAGTAAATATTTTTAAATTAAAAATGAAAGTATGTTACAAGGTACATAAAATATAAAAATAATTTGTCATAACATTAAAGGTGGAGGAGTCATATAAATACAGAAGTTTCATATGTTACTGAAATTAAATTGGTACAACTTATCCTAGAATGTTATAAATATAGACTGTGAAATATAATATTCATGATAACCACTGTGGTAGTTACATTTATTGAAGGAGGTCCCTTCAATAAATGATGCTGGGGAAATTGGATTTCTACGTACAGAAATGTAAAACAAGACTCATGCCTCACACGATATGTGAACATAAATTCAAAATGGTTAAGAAACCTAAATATTTATCCCATTTTTGATATCAGATGGATCTTGGCTCAAAGTAGAGAATACCGGAAAGATGTGTGCTTATGTTGTATTACCTGTGTCAAGCATTCGACTGTGTGGATCCTAACAAACTATAAATAATGTTGAAAAGAATGAGAATTTCAGAACACTTGGTTGTGCTTGTGAACAACTTGTACATGGATCAAGAGACAGTTGTGCAAACAGAACAAGGGGACACTGTGTGGTTTAAAATCAGGAAAAGTGTGCAACAGGGTCGCATCCTCCATATTCAGTTTGTATGCTGAGCAAATAATCAGAGACACTGGATTATATGAAGAAAAATGTGACATGAGGATTGAAGGAAGACTTAAAAATAACCAGCAATATGCAGATGATACAACCTTTCTTGTTCAAAGTGAGGAGGACTTGAAGCATTTGCTGATGAAGATCAAGGATTATACCCCACAGGAGAGGTTACAACTCAGTGTAAGGAAGGCCAAAATCCTCACAACTGGACCAATAGGTAATGTGATAAATGGAGAAAAGACGGAAGTTGTCAAGGATTTTGTCATTCTAGGATTTACAGTCACTGCTCTTGGAAGCAGCTGTCAAAAGATCAAAAGATGCATTGCGTTAGGAAAATCTGTTACAGGAGACCTCTTTAGAGTATTGCAAAGCAAAGATGTTACTTTGAGAACTCAAAATTCACTATCATTGAGTCAGTTCTTACTCATAGTGACCTTATAGGTCAGAGTAGAACTGCCCTTAATGATTTCTGAGATGGTGACTATTTACAGGAGTAAAAGGTCTCATCTTTCTCTAGCACAGTGGCTGGTGGTTTTGAACTGCCTATCTGTGGTTAGCAGCCCAATAGGTAACCACTATGTCACCAGGACTCCATATAAATATCATATGACTTTGCACTTCCACTGATAGGCATATACCCTAAAGACTTTAAT